CCCGACTAGTGTTGATATAGTGAATACAATGGTTGAAAATAGGGGCACTAAAATTTTTAGGTACGTAATATAAGAGGAAGTACGGCTGGAGGAGTTAAGGCGGACATAGAAATATTTACAAAAAAAGGTATTGAATTTTGAGAACAGCCGCCATAAGAGGAGACGTATCTGAAAAGTGTGATCGAACAGAGTTATGAGTCCTCTGGTGGGGTGCTTGATACATAATTACTAGGGAAGGCACCCTTTACAAGTCGTCCAGTGCCTGCAAAAATAGATGACGTCGTCAGTTATTTGTAATCACATTCTCAATATTCATTTCTGAAAACACTATCGTATTTCGGAAAATTTCTTGATACTTACCATCATCTACAAATCCAATCCACCATGTAGGATCACTCCTGTCGACGACATAGATGGTATCTCCGACTTTGAGCCCCAGTTCATTCTCAGTACGTGGATCGAACGGATATTGAGCATAAAAGATCTGTGCATCGTCCAAATCACCGACAAACAATTCGCTGAATAATCCTCCTCCTCCGCCGGCAACAAATGCTTGTTCTCCGGAATCACTCGCATCGACTTTCGCAGATTTTTCGGTGCCAGAAGATATTCGCACTTTCTCTGAACCCGATGAATTCTTGTCGCTTTGTTGAAGTAAATCCTCTGCGAATTTGATCTTTGAATTGAGATCGAATGTTGCCGTCGTAGTTTCTTCTGCTTCTCTTTTTAATTCCTTGCGACGGTAATAAGCTACTGCCATTAATACTGCAACTATTGCAAATACCATTACTAACGAAATGGCTGCAGATATCAGTATTACTAACAACACAGCCATGAATTCTTTTTTTTTTTTTTTTTTTTTGCAAGAGAAACAAGTTAGATCTTTTGTCAAACATCATTTTAGTTACTATTAATTTATTCATAATTTAACTTACTTTTATTAGAGATAGATGGAGGAATATCAAAGAAGATACCCAAGATATTCCCGTTCTTTCCTCCATTCTGCGAAGCTTGTAAATAAGGATGCCAGCTTTGCCCATCGAACAATGCCGTACTGAAATTTCCACCATTATCCAACTGTAGATCTCCAGCAACCATTAGTATTCTGTTCCCGTTTATTATATCATTGCCTGGATTATTCCCATTAATTGGTAGGAAAGTCAACTGAGATATCCTCGAAGTTGATATTAGTCCAGTAGTGAATGAATTAAATTTTGATCCATCGTATTCATATAAGTATGCAGCACCTGCGTCAGTACGTCCAGCTATCCAAATACGTTGAGCAGAGCCATCTATTGCGAGAGCAGAAGGTATACCGGATAGGGAAGAGGATTCTGTAATGGAGCGCCACGTAGATTGACCATAATTGTATTCTGCAAGATAAGTCCTTTCCCCATTTACAGTTAAATTACCAGCTATATAAAAGAGATTTTGGTTTGACTAAAGAAGAACGGAAACAATGTAGTATGGGTTAGTTAATATATACTTATTATATATCATATATTAAATCATTTTACTATTATATCCAGTTCTCTTACCTCAACAAAATCGATCGCAAATACTTCTCCATCAATATTTGTGTTTCCCAATGCATTCCATTGATTATTATTAGCATCAAAACTACAGACAGCTTTGCATTCAATATCGCCTGCTTTGTCAAACACCCCTCCAACCAGTATCTCCCTATTCTGTCTCCGTTTCACAACATTCACACTGACACCCTCTGCACCACTCAATTTAGGTATATCATCAAACTCGTTCGATTTTAGATTATACGCTGCAAAGCCATCACCTTTCGAAGAGGAGAATACACCGCCAATGTAGAGTGTATCGTCTATAATTAGTACTGTTTGAATAGTACCATCAATATCGCCTGAAAGAGACTGAATGTTGCTGTTTTTAACCAATGCTATGTTCTTTGTAGTGCCAAGCGTAAAACTTCCACCTATTACGGTTATTGCTTCGCCATCAGAGTTTTCATAGAACGCTCCAGTGTAGATAGAAACTTGGGGGGCACTGCCATTAACACTAGTCGGCACAATTGGCAATGGAGTAATATCACCCTGAGGATCCAATAGACTAGCTCCAAACATTCGCAAGGGTGATGCGGAAATTATGTTTCCAGAAATATATGTAACTGCATCTCCATTTACTGTAAGTGACATAATGTCTTTAATATTTCCGTTGATAAAACCAGTATTATTGGCCCAAGAATTCTGTCCCTCATCCCATAACTCGAATCCAGATGACAATTCACCATCCGTCTTTCCAGGACCATATCTCACTTGGTATTGTCCACTGACGAATATTTGGTTGTTGTTGCTAACATTAGCATAGTCTAGCACATTCACCGGACCGTTCACTCCTCCGCTTACTTGTGTCCAGGCCGTTGTAGACAGCTTATATCTCGCTATATTATTTAACATTGTCTGAGCTTGATCGACAGTTCCAGTAAATGAACCACCAACGATAATTTCGTCAGAGGAAATGCTGATAATACTGTTCACGGGTCCATTAAGCCCCCCGTTGGAAAGAGTGACAAGTTTAGAACCGTCATATAATACTATATTAGAAAATCTTGCATCGGAGAACGTTCCGCCAATGATCAATTGGGTTTTAGAGAGCAATGCCAAAGATTTTACGTTTGCCCTATCCGGAAGAACCCCGTTCAGACCACCCCAAGGCTTGACAGCTCCATTAACGTTTAACCAATACTGAAACACTCCACTTAATGGTGGTGCACTATTTGTTCTCGTAAATGCTACGTTTCCAATATCAATCTGGAACGCGGTTTGACCTGGATTCGGTGGTGCTTGCTTATCTAATTCAATCACCACTGAGGGCTTAAATGTATTGCTTGTAGCAAGTACTTTTCCTGTATACACTGGAATATCGCTAGGTTTCAAGTTATTCGTAGTTATATTCTTAACTATGGCTAGTCCCGGTAGCGCGTTTACTGTGACCAATATTGTAACCGCCGCCTCGCAATTGGGCGTACATGGAGGGAGATGGAGCGTTACCAAATAATCACCCGTTTGGGGGACGTACGGCGTCAAAGTGATGGACGCGTTGCTGGATGCGTACGATGCTGCAGGAATTGTGGTCTGTAAGGCTGTTTCCCAAGCTCCTTGGATAACTACTGGAGTCCAAGTGCCTGTCGTTGAGATGGAAGGACTGAACGGCGTTGGAATGCAAGAAGGGAAATTTCCATATCCCGCTGCATAAACTACTATATCTGTAGAATGAGAAAACACATATTATGTTATAAGAATATGAAATAATGGAGAATAAACAGACATCTTCGCAGATTATATTGCACTCACCGCTCTGATAGAACTGAATTTGATGAAATCCACCCCCGAGTCCATTGAACTCGATCACATTCACTTGCAATGCAGTCGTTTTAACTTGAGTAACGAAGTTGAACGTTTGCGTTGTTGTATTAGATTGTTGTAGCGGACAAGCATCAATACACGTGACGGTCGCAAGAGTCTTAGGATCAATGTAAGATAGCTGGACTCTTTGATTATCAGCTGTCCAGATGCTGATTTAGACGAAAGAGATGGGCAAAGAGTAACATTATGAATAAGTAAAAATTGAGTATGTTATTAATAGATAAGAATACGATTCACCAACGACACCCTACTACCTCTTATATTACGTACCTAAAAATTTTAGTGCCCCTATTTTCAACCATTGTATTCACTATATCAACACTAGTCGGG